GAATCAGAAAATAAAAACTGAGCTTGGTACCTCTATTTTAGCAAGCCTCTAGGTGACTTGAAAACACCCTGAACCACTGGTCCTGGTTGCATTTTAGTAGATTACCTTTGCCCTTCTGTTGTCTAGAGAGAAGTCTCTCACTTGGTAGAGGAGGGGAATAGGGACTGTGCTGTTGTTTGATTGGATAACCCCCCCTGGAAGATGGCAGGCTTAGGAGGACCACATGGCCATTTGCAGATGAAGGGCTCTGCTGCTGGGATGTACTGGGGCAGCTGCTCACCTTTGCTTGTGCCCCAGGTGTGGAACCTGGGCAATACCTCATTGCCCACTGCCAACTGGACTGTAGTGGGTGAACAGACCCAGCTGGAGATCTCCACACGTGTGCCAGGCTCCTACTGTGTACAAGTGGCTGCAGTCACTGGTGCTGGGGCTGGAGAGCCCAGTAGCCCTGTCTGCCTCCTTTTAGGTGAGAGAAAGGTCCTATCCATACCCTTCAGCCCCCATGTCATCCTCCTGTCTCCCTGTTCCTTTACACTTTTACCTCCCCCTTGTCTGTTGGTCCCTTACTGTCCCATTGGCCCTCTCTCTGAGCTCCACATCCCATACAGAGCAGGCCATGGAGCAGTCAGCCAGAGACCCCAGTAAACATGCTTCCTGGACCCTGGATCAGCTGAGGGCCACATTAAGACGACCAGAAGTCATCGCCAGTTGTGCTGTCCTGCTCTGGGTGCTGCTACTAGGCATTGCTGTGTGTGTCTATAGACGGCGCAAAGCTGGGGTTCACCTGGGCCCAGGTAAGAGAGGAGAGCCCGTGTATATAGGTCTCCCTGGGTCTAGCCAGAATACCACAGGAACTTCTATCTCTAGGAAGATGTTGGGCTCTTCATTTAGCTGTTGCCCCATTTTCTTCCAGGTCTGTACAGATACACCAGTGAGGATGCCATTTTAAAACACAGGTGAGAGGCCAAAAGGGAATCCCTAGGAAGGGCAGGGTGAGTCTCGTCAGAGAATGAGATGGAATTTAGTCTACCCTCCTGCCAGACAGTACCTGAAGCCCTCCTGGACTCTGTGACATCGAATCTCTTTCACTGTAGCCTCTTGACAGCCGAGCAACCC